CGCGGGTGACTTTGGAAACCTCATCAACTACAGGATCGAAACTTGCTTCCAGTTCATTATATATTCCGTGTTTCTTCGACAATTCCCGATCTATTGTGTTGAAAGCGTTTCTTNATATTCATACCTTACGCTCCTCCACTGTCAACTCAAAGAAAGCCTCCCAAAAAGCGAGAATCGTCGGGTGATTTGCATGGTATTCGCCTTTGTATTGGACAATCTGGAAATTTTACTTTTTTAACTTGATTAATGTTCTTGTGCTCTTTTCATGCTCTAAAACGGAACGTGCAGCACACAGCGGAATGACATCCCCAACTAAAGCGAGAAGCCAAACCTCTCCTTGGTACTCGCAAATATTTTTAAACCTCCTTGAAACCGGAATTTTTGTCAAAAGCAATGATTTCCTGCTAGCATAGGATCTTCCACTTACAATTCCTCTGCAACAATTTTAAGAAGCCCTACAAACGAAGTTGAAGGAGAGGAAGGGTAAGTGAAAGTTGCGTCCTATAAATCTGACCTTGCATAAGAGCTTCTCGCGGGTGACTTTGGAAACCTCATCAACTACAGGATCGGAATTTGCTTCCAGTTCATTATATATTCCGTGTTTCTTCGACAACTCCCGACCTATTCTGTTGAAAATGTTTCTTATGTAATTCGATGATCGATCCGCTTGCCATTCGTGCGTCAGCCACACTCTTATCGCCTCTTCATCATGATACGGTAAATTTGATCGGCGATATTCCCACACCAACACGCCCATTTGAACGTCACACATAGACGATGGACTTGCTAGCTAAGGCAAACAATCAGCACTATCCCACTTCATGTGAAAAGAGCTCTCGAGGGGATCCTGCTCGACAAGAAAATAATCGCGCACCCTAGACTGATCGCATTGGCGCTAGAACCACCGCTAGACCAAAACAAATCCATTAAAAGACAATCACATTACCCGGCCAATTTGGAATGTTCGGTATAATGGGCGCACAACTGCTGACCATATAAGGTAGAACCGGAACCACGACGTTCAGTTTGTCTGAACGATTGGTGGACCGATAAACATAACCAGTTATGCATATCTAACCAGAGCACTACTTTACGGGGCAAGGGGGGGGGGGGGGGNAATGGTTGTACAAACTTTCAATTTAATCGCAACTGCTCTTTTCACGATATATTCAATCGATTCCATTCACCGAACGAATGTTCCGCTTCAGTGAACTACGATTGTCAGTACGGTGCTGGTGAATGGTATTAAACAAATCGAAAGGGAGGACGGTAGCGAGCGCATCAGCGATGCCATCACAACAATATACAATTTTAAACAGCGATTACTCCTGGATACGGTAACGGGAAAACGGATGCAATTCAAGAGCGTTCGAAAATTCTGAGTGCGCTCCACAGAATCCTCAGAGGCGAAAAAAGAAGCTACGTGGCTCAACAGCTAAGCTCTGAGACAGAGCTGAGCTCCCGATCGAGAGCGCCGTTAACGCAGCCGGGACGGGTGCGACTAGTTGCACACACACAGAGGCGATTTCCCACGCAAACCGGCGGCATTCCCACGCTTGGTGTGGGCACCTGTCGTCGTCATTTCCAGTTGTGTGGGGTTGTCGTCACTGTCGTTGTCGTTCTCGTTTGACCGCTTACGATTTCTCGTACACCGTCCACCACTGAAGGTGTTTTCAGGTTTTTCACTTCTGCACGCCACCTTTCATATGCGAGCCACGCGCTGTTAGAATTGATCCTGGGTTTTCATGAGCGCTTGTTTGCATTTTAGGATGGCTGATAAAGATTATACGGAGAAGGTCACTTTCCTAAAGAAAAAAACAACTCGTAAAAAGCTTTTGAAGCTGCTAAATTTCCCCTCCCGAGCGGAGCTGGCGTAGAGCTTACCTACACTCCCGTAGACCTTTCGATACCCTCCTCTTCAAGGTCGAACCACTCTTTTCACTGATCCTTCAAAACCTGCCTAAGAGATCGCCTTCCCCTGTAGGGCCTGAATAAGTTGCAATCTACATATAAAAACAAATGAATCTTCAAAACTCAACAGAAGTTGGATGCATGGCGCGTTTCAGAAGGAAATATGGACGAAAACCACTGCTAACTCTCTTGTTCCAACAAAGAATACTAGATAAGCTTCTCGGCAAGTGGGGTTAAACATTTCTGTAGAACTTCTTTCAACATAGCTCACGCTGTGAAAGACATCGGACTAGAAAATTCAATTATTTTCTATTCTCAAAAGCCACGAACAGACACCAAGACGGGATTTTCGGACAACCAGTTCTTCCGATCCACTCAAGACTGGCACACCGAAGAGGGATGAAAAAAAATGTGCTTCCCCCACTCCAGCAACTACAGTACTACAGTAAAAATCCGAGGTTACTGGTTTTCAAGGGAACGACACTTTGGTATGGCATTGTAGTAGACGATAATGAAGTATTTCCTACGTACACTAGCGCTAGGGAGTTAGAAATATTATTGATTTGACGACAATTCCAAATGACCGAATAGTGTTCAAGAGCGAACTGTGGTGAGGAGCCATGTAGTCGCAGTTTCGTTGCTATGCCCTGGAGGACGCCACCGTACTCGAGAGGATATAATAGAATATGTTAACCAATTCACTACCCTATTTAGGCCTCAAATTTTAATTCCAACCGTCGCGACTGTTCCTGGGGAGGGGGAGTGCGAGTTCCACAATTACTTTTATTTAATGTCACTTTCTAAATAACCATAACTTAGTAACTGTGCAATTCAGATAACCCAGCAAGACGACAAGGTGCCGAATGAAAGTGAGAAGGAAATTATCAAGACTGAACTGGGCGGAGTACTACTTCAAGAACAAAGGAAGACCGAAGAGAAGAAAGGACATGAAGAGCAGCAGCTGATAAGTCCAAAACTGACTTTCCAATATGGCGACACCCTGAATAAAGTGGCTTCCTCTCGAATGACGGGAGAAAGAAAGCATGGAGGTTCATTTAGATAAGTCTAGGCATACGATACCCCCAGAACGCATTCCATAATTGGACAGTCTTGAATCATTACGAGACCATCATCGTACTTTTCAATCACTCAATGAGTAGAACACAATGACTACCATATACCTCAGATACCCGTACACCCACACATTCCCAGTGAGGTGACGTTCCTGGAACAAGCACTTCACTCACTCAAAATGGTATCCCAAAGCCGGTCCTTGTCGTCATCCCTCCCTTGCGCACTCACAATATTGACAATTGCAATTTGGGGACTGAAGAGGACACAACACACACAAAACGAGCGCTACCCCATTAAACACTGCGCACTGTGAGGGAAGTTCGAAGAAGGTATCTTGAGGGGAGCGGAGCTAGAAAGGGGACCGAATCAAGTTCCCAGAAGGAAAAATGAAGAATTCTGAAAAGGAGATTTCCGATTAACACGCAGAAAAACTTCACTGTCATTTCAATCCCTATAAAACATTCGTTGTTCTGTTGATGGCCTCCACCATGAGCAGTGACAATTACATCACCTAGGACAAGATCTTTTTGGTCCAATTCCTTTCCTCCGCTAAACTTTCCACATGACACAATAGTCCCCTCTGATTCTGCATCGACCATCATCTCATTTCTCCGCCCTGATATCGTTGAAGCACCTGACCAATGCTCCAGTGTAAAAAAACCGTAATGGAAGTTCCCTGATTTCTCACAAGATGACAGGGTTTTCAAAAAAAAAATCAAGCACCATCGTTTTAAAAGAATCATTTAGGGAACCTACGGAGTCTTTAAGAACGCTCACAAAAAACTACCATGGGTGATTGATTAGGCTCGTAGGACAGCTACAGCCCTCAATGACGATCCCTAAAGGGTGAGAATAAAAAATGCTAAGGAAAGGAAAGGAAAGGAAAGGAAAGGAAAGGATGGGATACATCATTAATAGTAACTATCCTCGGAATGGTGTTGGTGTAAAAAATGAAGGCTAGATGAAAAAAACACGAGGAGATGGAAGAAAGTTGAGAGGGTAAGAAATAACCGATCGAAAGAATAAAGAAAAGAAAGAAGATTAAAGAGAAAATCAAGAAATAGGAAAAATTGAAAATTGAAAAAAGGCAGACAACAAAAACAAAAAGAATGAAAATTAGTAACGGTATGAAAAATGAGTGTTCTGTGAAAAAAGAAAAAAGAAGGATAGATCGAAAAGAGATGAGAAAAGAGAAGAAGGACCTGTACCAAAAAGTTTCTGAGGAATTCTAACCAACAACAGAAAATCACTAGGAAACCGCAGAAAATTTCCAAAAGGAAAAGGTGAAAAAATCTAAAACGGTTAAACAAGCAGGTCATATTTCTTACAATTCAAATGATTTAAAAATATGCACATACGATTAAATCAATTCTCTCTTTTCGGGGATCAGGGCGACCGATAGGACTAAATCGATAGATCTAAATAAATCTAATTCAACTTTACAGACCATGATAATGCATTTCTGCTATTCCCATCAGCACTCTACCTTTCTAAACGGCTTCGTAGAGTGATGGGTCTCTTATGAATCAGAAATATCATCTAGGGTAATCCTTGGCTCTTTAAAAAAGCTACATATGTAAAGAGCATGAACTAATTTGAGAAGTAAACTTATCTAAAATCGCTCTTCATTTGAATGAATTGAATTTGGAAGTACAAAAATGAATCGTTAACCTGCCTCACATCTGGAACTGACTCAATGCTCAAAATCAATTTTCCCATGTTAGGCACGTTGAGGGCGGATTTGGTGTGGTGGCAAGTCGAACTATCTTATACGCACGGTCAGGGGTTCGAATCCCGGAATGATATCCGCCTGGGCCAACCAAGCTTTCATCCTTCCGGGGTCGGTGGGTCGGTTAAT